GGGGTGGGTCTTTAAAAAGCTGCATATTTTTTGCAGCTGAATGCAAAGGAAAGAAACAGACAAATGAGCGCGGGCCTGAAACCCCAGCTGGTGCGAACCCTAAACCCTAAACCCTAAACCCTAAACCCTAAACCCTCAAAGCTCAGACCCGCTAATCACCGCCGACGGCTGCACTTCTCGGGGGTTTCTTGCTTCGGTTTCAGGGCTCAGGCCGGAGATATAGGGCTCAGGGTTTAGGAATTAGGGTTGAGGGTTGAGGGTTTAGGGTTTAGGGTTTAGAGACCTGTCCTTTGCTGAAGAGGAAGTCCCTGTCAATCCTTCGCAGCCGAATTATCGCCGCCTCGGCCACTTCCGTGTCAGATGTTTGCTGCTGAGGGTTTAGGGTTTGGGAGCTAGGGTTTAGGGTTTGGGAGCTAGGGTTTAGGGTTTGGGGGCTAGGGTTTGGGGTTTCGGGGCTAGGGTTTAGAACTTCTTCGCCATCGCTTTCCTCCTCAGAATCACTTCCAAAAGGCTCGTCAAGGGACTCTGCCACACTCAGCCCGCACGAAACACACTATTAGGGTTTAGGGTTTAGGGTTTAGGGTTTGTTCGCCTGCTGCACTACCTAGGCTCGCGAGTTCGGTCTGCGGGCCCAGCCTATGCCTATCACTTAAACCCTTGAAAGCTACCTCTCAAACTCTTAACCCTAGACTTTAAATCCTAAACCCTAAACCCTAAACCCTAAACCCTAATTTTGTGTGTTACCTTGGGGTTGGAAGGCCATAGGCTCCATTCCCGCGGCCCTGATGAGGCTGGCGCTTTCTGCTGCTTCATAAACCACCTCCTGCAGCAGAAAGCCAATTGCTGTTGGCTTCTGCAGCTATTAGCAGCAAAAAAGGGTTTAGGGTTTAGGGTTTAGGGTTTAGGGTCACCTGCCGGGACTTGGGCTGGAAGCCCCGTTCCCTGCGCCGCGGCGGCGGCAAAACTGCATGCAGCAGCAGCACGCGTTTCGGGGGTTTGCCAGCAGCAGCTGCAGCATCTCCAGCCGCAGCAGCAGCAGCAGCAGCTGCTGCTGCTGCTGCAGCAAACCGCCGCCTTGAACCCAGAAGGGGCCCCCAAGGGCAGCTCACACAGGTTATTAGTGCTGCTGCTTGCTGCTGCTTCTGCTGAAGCAGACAGCTCTGAAAGCCATAAGGAACCCCCAGCCAGCACGCGCCATCGCTGTTGCTGCTGCTGCTGCTGCTGCTGTTGCTGCTGCTGCTGCTGTTGCTGCTGCTTCTGCTGCTGCTGCTGCTCTTGCTGACGCTGCTACTGCTGTCGTTGCTGCTGCATTTGTTACAGTTGTGGCTGCTGCAGCTGCTGTGGCCGCTGCATCTGTTACTGCTGTGGCTGCTGCTGCTGTTGTTGCTGTTGCTGCTGCTACCGCCGCTGTTGTTGCTGCTGCTGCTGCTGTTGCTGCTGCTGCTGCTTGTTTTAAAGCCACAAAAAAGCTGCTGCGGGGCTCTTCTTCTCCAGTTTGCTGTAGCAGCTGATGGCAGCAGCATCCAGCGCAGTCTCATCCCAGTTCAGGTGTACAGACAGCTCGAGCTGAAACTGCCCTTCTTGTTTTATTTATTTTTCAATAATGAATCAAATTTATTAAATTTTAAAATAATTATTTAATTTAAAGGCCATTTTAGAGAATATTAAGGCTATTGAGCCTCGAGTCACGGCAGTGTAGCGAGCTAAACCCCAAACCCTAAACCCTAAACCCTAAACCCTAAACCCTACACGCAATAACAAGACTAAACCAAAACTTATTTGTGTATGCTTTAATTAAGCGTCTGAGTATTATTTTAGGGTTCCAAGTACCCAGGGGTTTCTCTGGGGGCTTCTCTGGGGGCCCCCTGGGGGCCCCCTGGGGGCCCCCCAGGCGGGCCCCCCAGGGGGGCCCTCCTGAGGGGGCCCCTCCTTCAAGGCCCCCGGGGGGCCCCCAGGGGGGTTCCAGCCCAGCTCTCTATGGGCCCCCAGGGGCCCCCACAGAAGTGGGGGCTGGTGGACCCTGGGGTGCCCCTTAAGTCGTTTAGGCAGCAACACAAAAAGGTTTCATTTTAGTCAAGAGTTTAAGAAATGGCTGTTGGACTAAAGTTTAGAAAAGGTCTTTGAATTTGGACTTAGAGTGTAAATAAAGACATTGAAGCATATAATCCCACGCAGCTTCTATAACTAAATTAAATATATATGTATATTATATATATACTTATATACACATCTATATCTATATATATTATATATATATATTCAACTGGATAAACTATATCATATTTATATATATACACATACATATATAATTTATATAAAGGGGTTTTGAGCAAGGCTCTGTAGAGCTGTCTAGTGTTATTTGTCTTCTGAAAAGGCTTATGAGGACTTCATTTCAAAATTAAAAGAAAATAATTTTTTTGCTTTTCTCCAGGCTGCTGCTGCCCCTCATAGAACAGCACCTTCTGCAGCCGCAGCAGCAGAAGGCCCCCAGGGCCTGCCCCAAACTCCAAAACCTGTTGGGATTTCTTTTAATTAATTTCGAGATCTTTGGAGCCCTGGAGAGAGCTGCAAAAACAAAGAAAGAGAAGCTTGAGCGGGGACCTCAGGCACAGCCGACTGGAGTTGGCTGCAACAAAAAAAGGCGACAAAAAGAACAGCAATCTGGCTTTTTGGGGTTTTCTTTAAAGGCAAATTTGCTGCATTTGGGGCAGCTGGCACCCCAAAGAGAGGCCCCTGAGCTTTAGATCTTTTCCCAATTCTAATATCCAAAAAGCCCTGAGCTTTAGATCTTTTTCTAAATCGAATATACAAAAGAATTGAGTCTTTCGTTTTCTCTGCTTCTCCAGGCACTTCACAGAGGCCTGCTGCAGGCTGCGGGACAGTGTTCATATTGCTGCAGCGCTGTGGCCACAAACTTCCCCCTTTTCTGCCTGAGTCCAGTTGCTTCTAGCTAGCCAGCACAGGGAAGCAAATAAGTTTTTAAATCCAAACAAAATAGAGAAAATTCCTCGCTTAGTATTGACCCAGTAAAACGGCCGAACGACCTCAGCTGCCTTTCGGCAGCTGCAGCACTTCCGTCTCATTTATCTCTTGCAAATTTCCAATTTGTACACTTTCCGGTTTCTCGTCGGCTATGCAGGAAATCGCAGAAATCCCTGGCCGTACGCTGTCGCTGCTGATGCTGCGGTTGCTGCTGCTGCTGCTGCTGCTGCTGCTCTTGCTGCATGTCTCTATCCGCGATCATCCCATGAAGGGTGCCTGCGTTTGTTTGGCTGCAGCCAGGGGCCCCCTTGCTCAACTGGCCAGTATGAAAGGTCCTCTTTGGTCCATCTTTCCTGGAAAAAGGTAAGACGAGCTGTGAGGGCCCCTTCTCTGAGCGCTTCCCCTAGTTTGCATGCACATGCAATCGGTTGGGTGCGGGGCCCTCAGTCTGCAGAGCACTGGGGCCAGTGCTCACTCTTGTGAAGTCCTTTCAGTCTATCTCCTGCATCTGAGGGCCTTGTGTCTAGCAACTTGGGCTTTTCACGACGCAGCAAGACGGAGCTCTCCGTGACACAACTCCCCAATGCAAACTGCTGCAGCAGCACGTCGGCAGCTTGCTGCTGCCTGCCGTTTCCTAGAAATTGAAGTCAACTTGCTGAATTGCTAGAGAACCGTAGAGCCTCTTGTTTGAAGCAAGGATGGCTCTGTGCAAATTTAACAAATCCAAAACATTCGCCACGCGATTTTTCCTTGGTCGCTCTTGAAGTAACTGCTTCGGCATGGCGAGGAATAAGGGATGTTCTTTTTTGCCCGAAACAAAGAAAATGCTGCTCACTTTTTGCCCTGCAATGGCGTTATTTGTTTCCTGTCCCTCCCTTACATGTCTCCTCACTGCATGGGCCAAGCCTCGGCTTCATTGCTGCACAAGCATCTAAGACGTTTATCCTCGCGGCAATCATCTATATTCTTTCAGGAGAGCAAAAGTCTTCTTCGTCTTTCAGATATAAAGAAGAGTGATTTTCGTCCAGAAGCATGAGCCAAAATGCCAGCGCGCTTGGCAGGCCCATTAAAAGCAGGCATTTTGGTCGGTGGTGACAGACTATTTCTCTGGAGGTTAAGTGTGTAGGTAGCTTATCACTTTACTAGGAACTAGTGAAATGAATTGCAGCGATGGAGCCTACAGTCCCAATGACACTGTTACTTAATTCGTTTCATGAACGGCCCATAGCATCAAGCGCAGCAAGCAGCCCCAGAATAGTTTTCATTTTTCCATTCTTTCACAAGCTTTCTTCGTCTCCAGTAGCACACAGGCCGCTTCAACACTTAACATTTGATATTTAATACTTGCAAGTCCAACATGGCTGTTGGGGGAAACAAGCTGCTAGCCAGTATCCCAAGGGTCGCTAATTTGCGAGGTGATGAGTTTAAGTGCGCACTGTAAGACATGTCGATCGAGAAGTAACTGAAAGTGGTTTCTGTACTAAAGAGATCACAGCTGCCAAGAGGCCACCAGAGAAGATGTGTAGAGCTGCGCCGTCCCCACTAGCTCAAGAAATTCAAGGTCTTTCCGCTGCAGGAAAAGAAACTATACTTGCCACAAGAAACATAGCACTAGAATTCCACTTGGCGCCATTAATGGGCCAGTCAGCAGAAGCCCCTACCGGTCGAGACTCGGTGAACTTCTACAATGAGTCTAGCAAATGAGTGGACCAGGCCGTTAGCAAGCAGCGGAGTAGGCCCAGTTGTTGTCTTTAGCAAAAGTGGGGAACTTTTGTTTGTGGGTCGCATGGCATTAGCTAGTTAACGCAGTCCGACAAAAGTACTTAGCCATTAGCCAATATATTCATTGACTAGCTATCAGCAGTTCAGTCTCCTACTAGTTCAACCTTCGGAGCTGCCTCTACAGTATTGAAAGTGAGCAAAAGGTAAATTTCAATTCCCTTCTCACTGAGCCATTAGGTCTTAAAGAATGAGTTGTAGTGCCTCTGCGTCTCACTAATGCCCAAGCGCCTTTTAAACACGTGGCGACTAAAGCCCTTGAAGAAATCAGCTAGCGCTATCCAGATGAACGCCACATTTATCTTTTTTGCCTCCAGTGAGCACTCTACCAACACTTTCGCCAATCCTGTCAGAGTCTCCAGGACGAAAGCTCAAGCTTAACTTAGGAAAGTGTTGGCGGCGTCAGATTTCCTGACTTTCAGCGCAGTTCACTCAATCACTGACAACTCCCATTGTATGATCTGCATCTCCTGTCGCAGCGCGACGAAATGCCATTTGGCGGGATTGTCTTTATGCCGATCCCGTGGGTGCCAGCTGGGGGATTCGAGCCCCTCTACTAACTCTAGTGGCGAAGTCTCAGGTGGTGGGTTCGATTCCCCCTCCCGGTTATTTTCAATGGAAGAGATAGGCAAGGCGCCACGAGATAGACAGCCTAGCTGCGAGACGGCGCGCCGCTCCCAGTGCCTCCCCCTTGCGCCTGGTGCACGGCCGAGTCAGCCAGTAGTTTCTTTACAACAGCAAAATTCTTCACTTCATTTTCGCCAAGAAAAGAAGTCCCCACGACGCATTTGGCCCTGCGGGGCCGTGGGTGTGGGGCCGCTGCGCGCGGCGGAGGAATTCTGGGAACGAAGGACAGGGGGGCAGTCCCCCCCTAGGTCAGGCGGAGCTTACTGCTGGCTTTGGCAAGGGGAAGGAGGGCGCGTGGGTTTGGACTCAGGAGCAGCAACTGGCTAGGGCCAGGACTGTGTATAAGGACTTCGCCGAGGAATAGAAGGACGCGCTGGGCTAGCGAAGACTGCAAATAGGCGTCGATTTTGGCTTGGAACTGCGGGCGGGACCTTGGGGGGAAAAGGCCTTGGCCTTGTGGGTTCTCGTTTTCTAGGGATTTTCAAAACTAAGGTCAAAGACGCCCAAGTAGACCAATGGGGGCAAAATAGCCAAACAACCTAACAAGCAGAAGCCCAATAGACCCTTGAAAGCAAGGCGGTTCAAACCTATTTGGTTTCTGCTCTGTCTCCCCAAGGCCTTGGTGGTCCTGGTGCACCATTGTAGTGCTACGCACTACAGGGGGCTGGACTGCGGAGGGGAGCAGGCCTTATCGCCCAAGGACGAAGTCACTCTCGTTTGTTCTGACCACCTATCACTTCAATCTACACATTCTGAATTATATGGCCCTGAAGGGAATTTCTGGGCTACACCGAAGAGCGCTGCGGCGGGGCCCCACACGAGGAGCGTCAGCTCTGGGCTTTTCCAAAGAACATAAAAGCTACCCACGGATGGCGCGCCCTTGGGACAAATCCTCTACATTCGACTCATACCTCAAGAACCAGTGCTCGCCCCCGACCCCGCTTAGGCCTCCCTGTTTAAACGCCCAGTCTTTAAAGTGTGGGAAGGGTGGGCTGCCTCAGTCCGGCCTCAGTCATACCCACCACCGTCCCACCCAGAGCGTGGTACGTTCTCCCTTGCTGGGACAGGCGCGTGCGGGGTGCTCGATTTCTGCCTTCCTGGTTCAGAGGGTCCATTTGCCTGGGTAGAAGCTTTGGCTCTGGTGGCTCGG